GGTTTGGTCTTCTGATCTTTGACAATTTGTGCTGGATCTATTCCATCTTGGGTACTTTGTCCAGGAATGAAGGCTAGAAAAGAGAATTATTCACCAGGTGTCCGAAGAATACATCGTGTAAATAGGTCAACCAGGTAGACTCAACGACAGAAACAAGGGGATGGGTCAAGCTAGCCTGACAGTGGTGCCGCACGGCTACGAGGGGTTTTGTATAATTGTACCGGACTGACTCCGGTTGTAGCGACTTGCCTCTGCGCTCCTTATAGACGCCGGAGACCAGCAAAATTCAACAGCTAGTCTACGCTCTTCGTTTCTGACAGTTCCTCTAGATGCCTAGGGGGGGATTTAACGTGTAGCCGGGTGTTATACTGACGAAGTTGACGGCCAAACCAATGTTTCATCACGATCCTCATCTCCAGAGGGTACTCTCTGTGCTCGATGACAATACTACGACACTGCCTCCTGTGGAGTTTTCTTGATCTCACAAGTCGAGCTTCGGTTACAAGTTTTGGGTAACAGGGTCGTAACCGTATTGCCACGCAACACTTCTTCTTCGCCCAGACAGTACATCTCCGTCTGAGGAAGTAGTTGTTGCCATGAGCTCAAAGAGCAAATGCTTATGAAGTGAAAGAATCAGATCTATCTTTTTTGCTTGTGTGACCTTATGGGTAGATTTACTTGAGCAACTCGAGATTATGAAGCTAAACTGTTCACATCAATCTTACTACTGGTTTATGTCGTTAAATTCCGGGGTCTCTTCACGCCATCAGTTCAGATAAACCAAACATACTTCAGGCCAACCCATCTTGAACAAACTCACAGGATCTTTCAGGAGCCACGAAGACTTTATCCGTTACTGTCGTCGTCGTCATCTTGCTAGCTAAAAATATTTCTATTGGCTTCGCTCAAAAATTTGATGTGAAAGTATGAGATCCATGTTTTCGTTTCTTCCCGCAATCTTTGTTTTTATTTTTATTTACCCCATGAGTGCAATTTTGGCGATCGATACGGCTCGATCAGGAAGAGGAGTAAGTCACCCCATCCCTCGGCATTCTTCGCCTTTTGTGATATGTGCAGTGGAGCGATGTAATAAATGTTTTGAATAAGTCCTTTGCATCACCCAATTATCCAAAAGATGCCAGGTCTGATTCAAGGCTAAGGACACAGGCCGATTGCAGTCCCCTTCCCGGTCTCCCTATCCTCAAAGATAAGTCACTGTCTTGGACAATAAATCTGAATCCGGAGTCTTTAAGCGCTATAAATCAAACAAATTGGGGGCCCGAAATGTCGACTGCTGCTATATTTGCCGAAACGCAAAATGATGTATGAATATTATTTTCTTCACCCTATTTGCCTCGCGGTTCACCAGTAATCAAATGGCACTGAATGTTAACCAATAAATGTTTTTTACTTTTCTTACATTAAGAGTCCAGCCATGCCAACTCCACTATGGATTCTAGTCGCCATTTCAACAGTTTTTACTTTCACTGTCTTGTTGAATTGACTCTTAAAATCTTGAGCACAAAAGTCCAAATCTAGTTTATCATTTACAAGGAAATTGGGGAATACAAGAGGACACTGTAATCAAATGCATTATGTACAAGGAAAGTTGGGAATACAAGAGGACATTGTGGCATTGTCACAGCCAAGGACATGCTTGGATGGGGTGATTGTGGGATGCCTAAGCAACTTAGTGCTTACTGAGATGAGCTGCCCATGCATTTATTAATGAGGAGTGACAAAGGCGTAGCCCTGTCACTGACGTCCATGGAGACCGGCCGGCTAGCCACTAGTCAGGCTGGTACAGAGCGCTCGAGCCTAAGAGGGAACCCAGCGCTCGGACCACCTGCTCATGGTCTGTCTCACTGGGAAGGTTTATGAGAGGAGATCTCCTCGATCCTCCCTGCCTCTCCACCTTCCCCCCTCAGATCCAGTAGCTAGCCGAAAGCCTTTTTCTATCTCCTACTAGCACTTACTCGGTTTTTCCTCCGTCTGCGCTAGCATTTTTCTCACATCCACCCACCCACCCCTTTTTTTTTTTTTTTTTTTTTTTTTTTTTTTTTTTTGGTACGGGGGCTTTGTGTTTCAGAAACACCCCTCCCCGTTTGCATCTAATACAATCCACATCTACTACCTGTCCGGCCAGAAGGGAGGCCACATTTTTGGCCCGGCGCGCCACGCCTCCCTATCTTCTTCCCGTACGCGCTCAAACTCAGGCTCTTTGCGGCGAGCGCAAGACCCAGTTTTTGAGCGGGTGTCGGTAAGGCTAGTTAGAATGGATAAAGGGGGAAATAAAAGGGAAAAAAAGGAAAAAAGAGCCAGGAACTAGAGGGCAAGGCCACAGACGGACCTCGCCAGCAACCAGCATGAGGAAGGAGAAGGGGGTGGCAACTGACGTTTAGAAACTATGGCCGGTGACTCATGCGGGGCATTCGAGGATACATATTTACATACCCCGGCCCTGGCTTGCTGGTGCACACTGCTAAAAGTCAAATAAGCCAGTCCCTCCAAACTTACCGAAGGAGAACGCGTAAAACTTAGGAACCGAGGGATTTGCTGTGGTTTGGTGACAGTTTAGACCGAGGATCAGAAGTTGATTGCCATCTGGAAAGTTGCTTCTTTCTCGAAAGCATTTCTGCCAAATAACTGAGACCCGGTCTCACTCCAATCAGCTCCGGTAATCAGAGAAGTATATAATGAGCTGGAGAATAAAGACTCGCCAGCCATTTCAGCTTTTCTGTGGCCTGCCGGGCCAAGGCGTATCTTGGGCCAGCTTCCGGGATTGCCTCAACTTCGCTCGGCAATGCGTAATTATCATCATCATTGTATGTCTCAACTTGATGGAGCAAGGAAGGAATGGAAGTTATGTTGCCAGTGACTCTAACCCGACGTTTCACATTCCGATTCTCGTCGGTTGTTAAGGAGAAGCTTTGCGAGAACCTTCCCTAAAGTCCGATCCGCTTGGCGTTGGAAGTGTTATGGAAGCTTTCATTATTTATGTGCATTTTCCCGATGACCGGGAATGGGGAATGTAAAAGATGTAAGAGGACATGCCCAATCAGCGAACCGCAGCCCCGAGGTGAAGCACGGCACTTCCATCTCAGCTATCATGAGTTCTCCCGGCTCGAGGGTCAGCTTCAGCCCTGCCAGGGTGCCCCTTTGGATACAACTGGACCCCTCTATGCCCCAGCCACAGTTCGTAGCCAGACACACCTCCAAGCTTGTTGGCCTGGCAGGGATTATCAAAAATATGAAACGGTTCCTTCAAGTTCGACTTCTGCTCCAGTTGGTATCTTCTCTCCCTAATTGACTCCAAGATTGGCTTTTTGCCGAAGATGTATGTGAAGAAGAAACGGGTGGGGTGATTGGGTAAAGTAGACGTGTATCTAATTTCTGGAGCATGGGGTTGTCTCAAAACATGTACGGCCAACTGTTCAGCTTGGAACGCTCAGGTCCATCGCCGAAGAATGGGCAGTAGTGGCACCTCACTTGATACTTCTATATAGCACCAGTCCTTGGTCTCCCTGAACCGCCCGATCCCATAGCCCCGTCATATTTAATTAATCATCAGTCTGTGGAAACCATCTTTTTTATTACTCCTTACAAAATTTATCAAAATTTATTTCCATTCCTTACCAGCGAAAGCCAAGCGGCAAGACGCAAACCAAATGTCTACCCAAAAAACTCGGCGAAGGAGTGGTTCTCACTTTGCCCAGCTCATCATCATAGCATGCATTCTTTGTGCCTCATCAATCAACGCCACACCGTTACCAATAGCATCCCCATCATTAGGACTCTCAAGCCAAAATTCTTATCTTCAGCCCGTCTCCCACCTCGCCAAAAGAATGGAATTTGCTGGTGTAGCAGGAGCAATCGCAACTGGTCAAGCAGTCCATAACGTCGCCACTGCACGCGAAGGAGCAGCTGGTGAGTCCACGCCCTCATACATAATTTTCACTCTGGATTACGCCGGTCAACTGAGCTTTCTTCTTCTTCAAATGATTCCCATATTTTAAATTTTGACAGGTAAGCCCTTATACCTTTCATCTTCGCGGTTTCAGTCGACTTGTTCACCCCCAACACACCAGTGGTGCCTAGTTCACAAAACTATGTAAACTAACTCCATCGTACCCCGCATACATTATAGCCCTCGCAGTGTCCAATACTGCCAATGATTTGGGCAAGGCCACAGCAACAGTCGACGCCATGGGTCCAGCCAAGCTGCAAAGGACGACCTCATCCCCCGGCGATCTAGAGCTATTCAAGAGCGATATTCATCGAAGTGGTAAGGAGGCCCCTACTTCAATTCCATTCCCTTCGATCAAAGAGCTTGAGCTGATCAGACACTTCCTTCTTTTGAATCTCTCTAGAGTGTTTTCATTGACCAACCGCAAACGTGTGAAACTATATTGCTCACAACTCCTATCTACTCCTCAGACGAAATTGAATTCCAGGATGCACATAGTGAATTCCCCGGCCACAAAAAAACCCTTTCACTCGATAACAGCTTGACCCAAAAACCCAAAACCCTTGAATCCCAAGGAAGCGCGTTCGAGTACGCCGTTAACAAGAATGAGGACCTTGTCAAGCCTCGTACGTATGATTGATGAGTTTCCATCGTTAGTGATCTAATAGAAGCCCTTTCTTCACAAACACAAAGCCAAGCAGCTTTCAACTGGGCACGATACACTAGATCCCAACGGGGCTTCAACATCGCATTCCACTCAGCAAAAGCCGAATGAGGTTTTCAGTCCACCAACTGAGACCACTCCAAACCCGGCCCCACCCCAGCCCGAACTGAACAAGGGTAAGCACTAGCCCTGGTCATCGGTCTCTTCAGAATCTCAGAAGTGATGCGGGAAAAACTTGCCTCGTTTGCTTCGCGCTGATTCATTTCACCCCGATCTACTCTTGTAAAAATCCCATCAAAATTCGACTATGTTTACCCACAGGAGACGTGCAAAACCCACATGCGCCAGGCCAACCTGAAATTTCCAACGCGCCAAAAGCACTAGATCAGTCCGCCGATCCAAACAGACTTCAAGGCTTAGATTCCAACCCCGCCAAAGAATACGGCAAGTCCAAGTCCGCCCTTGTAACGGGCGAGCCTACCCACCCGGCAGACTTTCAACGATTTAATTCGTTAAAACCAACCAATCAATACACCCCCGTGAACAAAGTGGAGTTGGCCAACTCTGCCAAAGCATTAGAAAAGACCCCGAAACATGTTGGTGTCCCTCTCAATCCTAAAGCAGCCACTGTGAAGCCTAGCACACGTAAGTGAAACCCTGTTATATATTTCTTTTCTTCTCACCTCAGTTGAAGGAGATCTCCAGAGCTGATCCCAAAATATCCCAACTTTTCCGCAGTTGAATTATCCCGTCAACTGTGGAAAGACACCTATCAACCCCGTAAATTTTGCATTTTTACCACTCACGCGCCACAGATGAACACTATCAGCTGATTTTTTCTTGAACTATTTTGTCAGGCTTTCAAAAATTCATCTCGCTATTTGTCAGGAAACGTGAGCTACACCCCGTGTTAAGATTTTTTCTACTTATGCACATACAACTGGTGTCCTTCTTCCAGCTGGAACTCATTTCGTCATTATCTATTATGAATCAAACAACAGGAACCTCAAAAATCAATGGCGTAGAAGTAGCCAAGTTGGAAGTTCCGCGGGAGACACCTAAATCGTTGACGCCTGGGTCAGCACCACGCCCCCCTTCAACTGAGCAAGTACCAAAGCCATCCACGGAAACGCCCAACGATCTCTCCGCTGCACCATCAAATCACCTGTCCACTGAGACGCCAAAGCCAGTCAATCCAGCAGACCCCAAAGCCGTCTCACCTGAGGCAGAAAAGGCGGCCCCGCGCACTTGGAAGCAGTATTTCTCCGATAAGTGTAAATTACCCCTCTAGATCTCATCAACTGTGTTCTGAATCTTTAGAGACTTAACCGCTGATTTTTGATGGCACAGACAAAGAATTCAAATCCCAGATTGTGGCAGCAAAACCAGCTACTGAAACGGCTTCAACAGCTTCCCGTGCAGCACCTGGTGTGTAACATTTTGCCGGCTGTAGTTGATTTCTATGTTAGTGATCCTGACTCCAGCACCACCCTTCACTTTTCAGAGACCCTAGAGTCGGTGGAACAGACAAAGTCGCCAATAAGGAAGATTTGGGGTAAGTCAATAACCTCTTTGCTTTGAATAAACGGGGCAACACTGACCTATTTTCGCTCTCCAAGCAGAAAAATTCTTCTCTCAAAAAGCACCGAATAGTCAGTCACATCCATTCCTTCTGCGGCTAACCCTAACATCATTCATCATCTTGTTGCAATTGATCACTGACTCAGAATTGGTTTTTATTCTACAGAAGAACAAACTAAAGCATCCAGATTCGCTGCCTTCAAGCGGTACTGTGAGTCACTTCATTTACGACCATTGCTAGCTCACGATAAGCAACTAACAATGCATTTTGATCCACACAGTTACTGGTGACTACTGGAAGAAACTTACGTTCTGGAGAAAACCCGCTAACCTCCGCAAACCAGCTGCACCAACTGATGGTGAGTACAGCATGTTTTAACAGATTGTTTTTGAAATGTGTTGAATAATTCCTTGCCCACCCCACTTAAAGCTCAAGTTGCCTCAGAAGCAACCCAGCACGCCGCCTGATTAGCAGCCCCTCAAAGCACCCATTCCCGCAAAAACGAGATATGTTCTCTCAGGGCCAAACAACCCATGTGGCCATGGAGTCACAACCATCAAAGTTTCTTCCAACTCAAATTATTAAACCAGGCGCAGCCCACATGGCGGATAGGAAGGGACACTCATCAACTACTCTCCCACTCGTAATTTCTTCTTCTTTCAGCTTGTTCTTCTTAACACTCATTAGCTTTATAAACACAGCCCACATTGCCAAAAAAACGGGATTTGGAAATCTGTTCATTCATTACTTTTTTCCCGATCCTTACAAACCAAGTCAATTATCACAATTAATCACATTTTTACAGAACTCTTCGCAAAATAGCACCACTCAGATTGATTATGTACCCAGGAAGTTTTTCAACTCCCCCATTGTTTGTGAAAACAGGTTTTCCTCATTGGTCCCATGTGTGCATTTTCATCCACTGCGGCTGAATATCAAGCTTTTGTTGCAAAACATTGGCGTCCCCTATGACACCCACATAATCACCATCTTGAGGTAGTCTTGCTTTCAAAAACAAAGAGGCATTCTCATACCAGATGGGTAGCAGATTGGCCATATCTACACCATGAGAAAACTTTAGATTGTAAACCAAGATTTCACACCTTTGGTGGCAAACCAATTTGTTAAAACCTAAACTGGCATCTTGTGGCTTAGCAATGGCTCAACATCAAATCCAATTAAAATCCTTCACAACTGACTCAATAGTAATGGGAGGTATAACAAGGCATAAACACTGCGGAACACAATCAATGTGTGTTGTGTTCCTCTCTCAGCTCAGCGCCCTTGGTGGTAACTATGCTTCACTCTGGCTGTAACCGATCAAACTGGTGTAAAAATCCGCCTCAGAACCATCCATAATTTTGTACAATTGTTGTAATGAATAGAAACAAAAATCCAAAAAAGAAGTAAATATAACCCAAAATTGTGAAGGTGGATTGTTCATGAGCAAAGGTTTGTTGGAAATAAGCTGCATCAATGAAGTGGCAGTGAAGACTATAATGATTGATTGATAGAATTAACTGGCAGACTAAGACTGGGATAGACCAAATTTGCTTTGAGTTTTGGTTGCTTGACGACAACAGGAATTGCTTTTTTCAATGTGAACCTTTGGAGCTGGCGCACAAAATCTCTGGCCTGCTGGAATTTTTTATTGCCTCTTTTAATGGCAGGAAGGTTTTTGGTACTAACTGGATGTCATGATCACGGTTTACAAGGGTTTGTGTCCTTCTTTGACAGACATTGTGGCTTATTAACCGCCATTGTGTCTGCTTTCCGGCGATCTGATTTGATGGTACTCAGAGTCAATCATTGGCTGACCAAATCCATGTTTTTTACAATTCAGCAAAAGCACTCACAGTATGGAACCCGCTGTCCTGGTGCTGGATCCAACACTGGGAGGTTACGCTACCAGTAACGGTAGCGTAACGATAAAGCAACGAAACCAGGGCTGTTAGCGTTGCAATAATCGCAACGGCCTTTCTGTTATGTTTTACTTTAATTTAATTTTTCTTATTTTTTTTTGTTGTTGCGTTATCCACAGCGCAAAAAGGTGGATTAACAAATGAATAACTAGGTCAATAGCGCAGATAACTTCTGATTTGTGTTATTGTTCTGGGTAACGAGGGGAGAAACCCCCTTTGTTACATTACTCATGACCCAAAGATCCATTCTGTCTGGATAACGCTAACGGCGTTATCTGGACAGCTGGGAATTTATGTTACGAAAATCCCTTCGGATATTGTAATGTATGTAACTTCCCAGTGTTTGTTGGAATGCTTGTACTGTGTATATGCTTCTACCTAGTTGTATTTAGCTCACATAGTCTCACATCTTGATTTCCTCTCCTCACTGAATCTAAACTACATTTATCTTTAGTGATTGCTCCCTTGTCACTAGGTCTGTGAGCCTTCAGTCCCACTACCTGAGCTCCCCGCAACAGTGTTGCTGGATCCTCCTCTGGGTTGTGAAGTTTCTCAGGAACTGTTTGCAAAAACACCATGTCCAACGGTTTGGGCTTTGTACGGGGAGTAGCCGGGTCTTGCTTGTGTTTGTCTTTCCACGGGTCATCTTTTTCTAGGGTTCTTACCAAATATGTCCTCACTGATGGCAAAGCCCAAAGAACAAGAAGACAGTCAGTAGCAGCCCAATTGATGACTAGAATTGGGAATTATACACACATAATTTTGATTTATCAGCAAAGAAATCTAAGCCTCCTACTCTTGGCAATGACACCTTCATGTAATATGCAAATTTGGCCCTCACTAACGGCTTCTTAGCTATCAAAAGTTCAAAAAAAATTTAAGCATGCTCTCCTTCTATAATCGTAACTTAATTAATCAGAGATAATGACATGGGCTTTCATCATCTGCAGGGGATTGAAACGGCGGGAGTGAGTACTTGTGAGCCAAAGGTTTAGAATTCGATGAACTGATGAATTTTGATAGCAAAAAAGGCAGTAGATTGTGCATACCTGGAGAACCTTCTGCGCCTCTATTTTGCTCCTCTGCTCCCATAACTTCAAGATAGAATCCATTGTTTTACTCAATTTCAACAAGTCCTGGTAAGATGATGTTTAGCCATTTACAGGTGAGGCATTAGATCAATCTGTCAGACAATTTGAGTTGTGCATTTTTGAACCTTCAAGACAGTGATTATGAAACTGTCAGCTTTTAGTTCTTAAAACATATTAAAAGAAAGACTAGCTAATTGTTTTGTACCCTGTTGCAAGTTTCAAACACTGTGTTTGTTTCTGTTTGCATTTGCCTTGAAGCCGGAAATCAAAGGGTCCCTCATTTCCTCTGCTTCACCCGGAATGGGTGTTGTAGTCAATGAATCATCTTTTGTGAGTGAGGCACAAAGAAACAATACTTCACGACATTAGAATTGCAAATTAACTTCAAGAAAAAGAAAGGGAATATATTAACCATTTGCAGATGTCGGAGCTTCGTGTGCTTCTGGGACTGAATTCAGAGGTTCAGTGGTCTGCGTGTCCAGTGAGGATGTTCTTGGGCGTGGAGTAGAATCTTGATTTTTTTTCTGATTTTCCCCCAATTTCTATGGATTCGGCTGACTGAGATGGACCATTCTTTGATCCCATCAACTCATTCACAACTGGATTAAATCCTTCCCTGGCGCTCACCATAGGTGCCAAATCCTGTTGATCTATTGTAATTTTTGAGGTGAGTCTTCCTCCACGGACTCTTTGGCGTGGGAATTAGATGCAAAATCCTAGTTGGACTCACCTGTCTCTGGTTTCAACTTTTGATGGAAGTTCCTCACTAAATTTTCTTTGAAACCCGCAACAAGGGGTTCCAGCGCACTTTGTTCATGTTGTGAAGGCTCCAGACCTTCAATTGGTGAGCTGGTACCAGTCTCTTCTACGGAAAGGCCAGACTGTCAGAAACTTTACTTTCAGGCAAGATGTAAAAATATGAATTTACGTTTTGCTAGAAGAGCCATGTCCTCATGCGTAGGAACAGAGTCTGATTTTTTGTCAGTTGGTTTAGCATAAGATTCTTGGATTGGCAGAGGTGTTTCCGATTCTTCTTCTGATTTTACAGGACCAAAACAAACAATGAGTGTCATTTCAAGAGGTAAATTGAGCCAGTTACTTTTTCTACCTTGCTGAGAATCAGAGGAAGTCTTTTTTGCATTTGGGGTTGGATCTTATTTTTCAATCTGTACTGGATGAGCCTGCACGTTGTCTTGGACTTCACCAGCTTGGTTTTGAGAGGAGTTTTCTTCCAATTTTTTTCACAAAAACAGTTAGTAAATCATTAGCCTGCCATTTTCAAGTGACTGAAGAATTTTGTCTGCTCAAAATATCTTCATTACCTGCTTGTGAATTGGAAGTAGGGTTGACGGCGCGCTAGCTGGGTGCGGGCCAATGTGCATGTGCCATGAAAACGCGCACTCGGTGTGCACAAGATCTGGAAAAAGGGGGGTGGTGCACACTTCTAACCCTAACTTTTACGGGGGGAGTCATCCATCAACTGCCTGTATTTTTTGGGGTTTCTTGTTGGTTGAACTTATTTTTTGGCCCCCAAGAACCCAATTCGACTCTTGAATAGTGTGAAGTGCCGCATGGGCACCCACCAATTGTGACTACTCGATAAAAAATTTAGGCTGAAAAAAAATTAACTAAAAAGTAAAAACATGGAAATAGATGATATGTACAGTGGGTAGACAGTGAAAGTGGCTGCTATTTGGATTCTAGAGCTCCAAACACAGACTTGAAGTCATGAGACTTGTCAAGTGTGCAGATAGGTTCTGAAAATGAATATGAAAAAATAAAAACAAAAAACAAATTTGTAAAATTTGTGAAAAATAAAAAATAAAATTTATTTTGGGACTTGGTCAACCAACTCCCAAAAATTGGAGAGTTGACTCCCAAACCCGGGTTTCCCCAAAATTTGGGAGTCGATTCCCCAAATCCATGCGTGGGTTTGGGATTCGGCTCCCAAAAAAATTTTAAATAGAAAAACGAAAAACCCATGGAGGGGTTGGGTGTCAATGCCCCAAAACCAAGTGGTTTTGGGGGGTCGGTGATCAAAAAAAAAAACAAGCGGCTGGGACAATTCCTCCCGGCCGCGGAGAGTGCTCTCTTGACGGCCGAGAGAGTTTCTCTCAGCCGTAAAGGGTCTACAGCCTCAACGGCCGAGAGGGTTTCTCTAGGCCATTGAGTATAACCCTCAACGGCCGAGAGTTTCTCTCGGCGGTGGAGGATGTACACCTCAACGGCCGAGGGGAACTTCTCGGCCGTCGAGGTTGTACCCCTCAACGGCCGAGTAAAACTTCTCGGCCATTGAGGGTGTACACCTCAACAACCGAGAGGGTTTCCTCTCGTTCGTTGAGAATGTAAACCCTCAACATCCGAGAGTGTACCCCCCGGTCGTTGAGGGTATACACTCTCGATGGCCGAGAGGATTCCTCCTGGCCGTTGTAAGACTCAAAAAGTGATTGTAAGAACCTTTTTGCTGAATGGAGAAAGGGATGAAATGAGCTGCAAACTCTGCCTTTCTATATTATCAGAAAACAAGACCACCAAGGTAAGCTTGGCAGTTTGGTTGGTGATAATGGATTATGTTCAAAGATGGTTGTATAATTGTTGAAGGTTGATCTTGTTGTCCAAAGAATTGATTGAGTTGTTGATGTTGTTTCTCGTCTTGATGTCTTGATACTCGTGCTCTTCCTTGATGCTGAATATGTATAATGTAATAGAGGTGGTTCTTGAACCCAAAGGGTCTGGGAGCACTATGCTTCAACCAGGACTGGAACAAAGGACTGGCTCTTCTGTGTAATGTTTGTGAAATGAACTGTGTTGAGATGCCTGTGACATGTCATTATTCATCTCATGTTCATGTTTGTTAGTGTGCTTTATTCAGATTTCATTTCCCTCATGTCACACTCTGTGACACTTAGTTGTTTTCTTTCAGCTCTTATACTGGAGCCATATGTGTTTGGGAGGATCTTCTTTTTCCTCATCCTTTCCAACTCATATGTCTCCAGGTATGTCTCTTCTTTCCTTTTCTCATTTCTCCTTTTTTCTCTTATGTTGAAATCTAATCCTTTCCAACTCATATGTCTCCAGTCTCCAAGGGTGTTCATTCCAACAGGTTATGAGACCCATTTGCGCTTGTTAAGACTCGACTCGCTCACCACTTACTCGACTCCCATCGTCTAACTTCGCGTCGCTTATACATCGGAACTCGATTCTCCTTCGATTCCTACACCCTTCTGCAAGACTATCGAAAAGATCTCACTATGGCCACCACCACAGGTCAACCTACGGACGCCTCCGATGCCCTTAAACTCAAGGTCTCGGGTATTGTTCAACTCAAGCCCCAAGGGGCCGATTCTAACTACCTGGACTGGAGCTTCGTCGTGATGCTCCACCTCCAGTCGCTGAAACTCGCCTATGTTCTCGAGCCGGTTATCGCTTCGGCCGCTGACTCTTCCACCACTACCGAGGCTAAAACTCGCCCCGCTTCCTGGTTGGCCGACAGCGTTTCGGTTTCCTCATTCATTGCTCGGACAATTCATCCCAGCAACCTTCGTTTCATCAGAGCCCACGGCACCGATGCCGCAGCAATGTGGGCTTCGCTTTCCAAGGCCCATCAGGACTTTTCGTCCGGGGGTCGCATGCACTGGCTTCGACAGCTTGTCGTTGCCCGGCTTTCCGGCGACGACATCGACTCGCACATCGAATTGATGGCAATCTGCGCTGAACGCCTTGGATCTCTGGTCACCCCAGACAAGCCCCTCACGGTGGACGACATTCATGCGACTGCCCTTCTCACCTCGCTCTCCGACGACTGGCTCCCCTGTGTTTCGGCGTTGATGAACGAAGATTCCGTCACTTCGTCCCGTATCGTTTCCGCTCTCAAAGCGGAATCTCTTCGCCGTAAAGCCAGGCGGGACGACGACTCCGCCGTGTCGGTCTCCAAAGCGCAGGTCGACCCCGGCAAAGGCCGATCTCGTTACAACGAGTCGCTTCATTGTTCCTTCTGCAATCGCAAAGGACACGATTTGGCCATCTGTCAGAACGCAGCTCGCATCCTTTCCGAGCACAAAACCAATCACCCTGCTCCAGATTCATCCCGCCGCTCCGACAA